CAGATGGGACAATGGCAAATGCTTTCTTTAATAAAGTTAGAGCAAGATGAAGAGCAGCCAATGTTCCCAGGCTTAACCACCCCCTGGACAATAACGCTCTGCCGGCAACCAACGCATATGCAATTGTGGACTATGCAGCACAATATTATAACGACCTGTTTACATCTGAGACGCCCACCAAACACCTAGATAAAGTCCAACAAGCGAGAGATACGCTTTTACAGGCAGTTCAGTCCTCCATAACACAGCAACAAAGGGTCATCCTGGACGAGCCTGTAACCTCACAGGAGGTCTGGGCTGCCTTACATGACATGGAGGATGAGAAGACACTTGGGATGGACTCCTTTCTGAAAGAATTTTGGGTGGGGTGTTGGGACCTCCTTAAGGATGATCTCATGGAATACATAGGAGCCATTAAAAAAGAAGGATCCTTTGGAGGAATGATTGGGCAGGGGGTGACTACCCTCCTATACAAGAAAGGGGACAAAGAGAACATCAGAAACTACAGGCCTATCACCCTTCTCCCGGTCCCCTACAAACTGGTGGCTAAAGTCCTTACCAACAGATTGTTGCCCCTCATGAACATTTTGATTCACCCGGACCAGACAGCATTCATGCCCAATTGGAACATCCAAGATAATATCTTGTTGGTTAATGAGACCGTTGAATATGACCACCAACGGAGAGTCCAGGTTGCGATCTTATTTATAGACTTTGAAAAGGCATATGACCATGTAGATTGAGACTTCCTGGATATGTGTCTTCTTAAAATGAACTTTGGCCCGGGATTTTGTCAATGGGTATAAATGCAACATAGATCGGCCACGACCAATATAATGCTAAATGGACATCTTTCACCACCGATTCGCCTCCAAAGATCGGTGCGTCAGGGAGATCCCATTGCACCATTGCTAATCGTTATTGTCATGGGGGTCCTTGCATCGCTGATCGGAGCACACCCCCGTATCAACAAAGTGCCTATCCCTGACATACCGCACCACCTCATACCAGTGACATCACTCTTTGCAGACGATCTCACCGTACTAATACGCGCAGACTCGGACAGTCTTCGAGCTCTAACCCAAGTTATCGACCTCTTCTCTCTTGCGGCCGACATGAAGGTTAACTAGGGTTCCAAGACTGAGGGCTGGTGGCTCCACCCTCAAGGACAACCACCACCACCCGAGCCGACTGTAGCATGGGCCCACAAAGAAGACATCATAAGGATACTAGGAGTGAGATTGACTGTTGTGGGCCCTCCACCAGACCATGGGGACATGTTGGTCAACATGGTAGTGGACCGGTTAGCCAATTGGGAAGACCTGCACACATCACTGGTGTGACGTGCCCTAGCAATCAATAGTGTCGTCCTGGCGGCCATCTGGTACAAATTGGCAGTGTGGCCCTTGAGCAAACAATAACACATCAGATTGAAGAAATCCCTCACGACGTACTTGTGGAAAACAACGCTAAGGCTCAGAGCTGCGTCAACAGGGTGAAGTGGGACATCCTTACACAACCCAGATCTAAAGGGAGACTGAGAATCTTGGATCATGAAAGAGAGACTGAGACACTCATTTTCAAAGTCATAATCCGACTGCTCATAGGAAATGATATCCCTGATCATTTCCGACTGCTCATAGGAAATGATATCCCTGGAAGTCGCTGGCCTGTTTGCAAATAGCCAACCTTGCTCCACAAAATGATGCGCACGGAATGGTCCACCCGTTCCAATGGCTCACAAACAATCACTGAACCATCCCTTCGCCCCCGAAACAGACGCACCCTGCGCACACAGCTGACCCGGCACACGCCACAAAGCTGTACATAAAAGCAGATCCGCTCTGGCCCTATATGATCAAACTCTGGAGACGAAGGGGTCCCCAACAAAGGCATCCCCCGAACAGGTGGTACAACATATGGAGGCAACCCCTATTTGGCAACCCACACATCCTGCAAGAATCAGGCCAACCCTTCCCTTTGACAACCAACTCCCCCTAGCTCATCTGGGCCAAGAAAGGGGTTTTCATGGTTGGAGACTTGCGGGACCTGGTGAGAGGGGACTGGGCAACCCCTAGCCAGCTACAACACAAACTTAAACACATAAAAAATGTGGAAAAAAAGGCTGGCCTGCTAAAAGAGGCCCTCCCTATCGCCTTACAGCTCATCCTACGGGAGGGGCTGACGGTTCGACGTGATGACTGGGTGGTCAGATACTTAGACTCTCCTGTTCACCTAGTCATATTTAAAGTAAAAGAGAATCGCCACGGGACCTGTGAACTAGAAGCTCACGAACCCCAAGTGCCCGAGGCTACACTCATAAAACCGCTAAGAAATGACAACTTAGACACCACATGTGAATGGGGAGGATTGGTGCAAGTGAGGGTGGTGGGGGACCAAAAAGATGGTTTCTATGCATACGAGTCCAAAACAACCATAGCCAAGCTTCCTTTCGATCCGGCGGAGTGGGAATGGTCAGGCTCCAAACCGATGCACATCTGGAATTACACAATAAAAGGAGGATACACAACGTCGTGACAAACCCAACTGATCAGCCAAACGTTAGCGAACAGATGAGCTCGAGACTCGCCATTGGACCCTAAATTGTCACAGTCTTTCGACTGATCCAAAGACGCGAGGATCATGCCCACAAACCACAGATCTCTGCAGTGGCTGATCCTCCACCACTGCCTTCCCACCCCTGATTGGATAGTCTCTAGGACTACACTGAAACAACAAGGGAAACTATCCCCTATTTGCGCATATTGTGGGAGCACTCACCCCCCGGCTAGGGCAACCCTCCAACATTGTCTTCTGGCGTGCCCAATGGTCACCCAACTATGGCAATGGTGGGATGCGGCCTTTCACTCCCTCGTTGGGTATCACATACCCTGGGACCTCGGCCTCCTGCTCCTCGGAGAGAACCGCCACCTGTTGGCTAACTGGTCCCTGTTCGCGACCAACCTGTTCTCATACACAAGGCTGCATCTCCTCATGCTGGCGTGGAGAGCCAAATGCTCATTAAAAAGAAAGGACCACCAATTTAGCATGTTGCAGGCGCAACAAGCAATCGAAGAGCTAATCAGGACCAATACCCAGGAAGCATGGGAGTCCATGAAATGTGACTTTCTTGAGGAGAAAGACCCCCCCACCAAGGAAGTCATTCGAGACTCCTACATGCAGACTTGCCAGGGCCCTAACAAATTGTTCTAGGAACTTGACACCGCTCTTCATATCACATGGAAACCATAGAGGATAACCGAATCAGATTGGCAGAGGAAGCCCTTTACTGACTTCCAAGTCCCGTACCTCCAACCCAACTTCGTCCTTCTCCCAAGCCCGGTGCCACCTGCCCAATCACCCCCTGCCCCCCCCGCCTACTCGGTCATACCCGATGCACCCATCCAGCCATCCAGTTCCGCCCCC